AACGCCGCAGTGCCGGATTACATATTCAAGCACCGCTCAACTTTCTCAGTGCCACGGTGTGTTTGTTTATGTACTGAATATAAAAAAATTTCAATCTTTTTGTTTGGGGGGTTCTGTCATTTTCGGAGGAGTCATTTCAGTGAGTCCTGAGAGCTTAAGTGAAATGACACCTTAGAATAAAATCTAAGGAAGACCAAGGGAAAGAAAAATAGATCATTTGGAGAACATTAGCCTATCTTATTGTGATCAGACAGACTTTTGGAGTAAGAAAAGATCATGGAGAGTGAACTTGTACTATTAGGATGATATTTATTTTCACTTTGACTCTTGTACTTTCTCTTTTATGCAATCAATGATATCTGTGTTGTTCTATTTTAATTCCAAGGCCGACTAATTCTCTAATTTTGGGCTAATAGTGTGAGCCATTTGTTATTAGTAATATAGACTCTTGTACTTTAATTAATTATTGGATATTTTCAATATCGCTCGTTTTTAATTTAATCTATACAATGGTCATATGTAGAGTTAAAACATAGTTTGATATATTGCCTCGATGTAGGAATATCGGAACAAATAGGAGTATTGAAATGGAACTCTTGCATACCTAGATATAAAATGTTTAGTATTCTAGAGTCTATGGAGAAATAGTAACTGTAGGAGGGCAATAAACATTCCTTCACTTCCTTAAAAGCTCGATATAGATCAGGATGTATATGCTCTTATTCACAACCAACTTATAAGACTCTACTTAGGAAAGCTTGGGAACTTCACGATCATTAGTCCAAAATATTTTATCAACTAGTATCTTATCTTTTCTCTTGAAATTTTCAAAAGTGACAAAATCCAAAACCTAATTTTCGATTGATAAACATTGTAGCTAGAGTAGACAGTACTAGAACACTCGCATTGTAGCATAACATTTTCTCTTGAGATCAACTCTCATATAACTTTTATTACTTAATCGACACGTGCACTTACGTTTTTTAGTGGGCTTTTATATCAAAGAAAATCTAAGCATATTTCACACACATCTATCTAATGCACACGCCTGCACAACCCAATTCCACGCACATCAAAAAGTAATTGTGAGGATGTTGTATACTTAATGTGTGCATGTGAATCAATCATTTTTAAATGCCTGCACAACAACTGAACTCCTGAATTTCAAGTTGAGGATGACTCATTCAAATCCTACTTGATATCACCCCTAGAGGATAGATCCCTTAGTTGTTGAAATTTAAAATTTAAACCCCTATATATGGTGAGAATTCTAAATTTGATGAAGTAAACTGCAATATTTGTGAGTTTATTTACATGTATAATGAGTAGTTCTAATTACATTATAATGTTAATGATGCTAGATTCCAAATTAAACTATGGCTTTTTTCACCCCTATTTCAAATACTACAATTTCTGATGATGACGGTGGATTAGGAGTGAGGAATTAAATGCATATGTAGGTGTTCCCAAGTCATGGGAAAAAACGAACATTGCATTATGCCTCCACATACATATAATGAAAGTTCATACAAGTTGAAATTTAAAGATACCATGCTTAATAATAAGGTTGTGAAATAAACTTGTTAGCCGATGAGACTGTGAGCATAAAATTTTAATAGACTTAATTAGACAACATAAATAATATCAAAATAGTGCAAATGGGATCAGCCATGACGGGTTAAGAACTGTTACATAAGCTTAATTTTTATTTAAAAAAAAATTAAAAGACCACCACTCAAACAGTCTTGCATTTCACTAACTACAAGTCTTAGGAAACACCAACCAATCATCATCAACAATTATTGATTGCTAGAAAACTTCAACTGGCACCCTTTGAGCTTTAATTGACTATTGTCAAAGTCCAATGAGTTACTGACTAGTTTCCAACAATCTTTAACAATCAACAACAATAACATCAAGCATTTATCCCACTATGTGTGGTTGGTCACATAAATTCTTTTTCTTCATTGTGTCATGTTAAGAGTCAAATTCTCATTTCAATCTAATAAAGAAAGGTCATTTCTAATATTTTCTAACCAAGTCTTTTGAGGTCTACCTCTACTTTTCTTAACATAAGCCAAATCTAATACATCTACTCTCATAATCAGGTCATCAAAAGGCTATCGCTTTATGTGACCAAATCATCTAAGGCAACTCTCTCTAATCTAATCTTTCATTGGAGCTACTCCAACCTTTTCATGAATATGCTCATTTCATAACCTATCTCTAAGAGTAAAGCCACTCATCCACTTGAGCATCCTCATCTCTGCAACACTTAACTTAATATTATGCTTCTCTTTTAATTGTCAACATTCTACACCATAAAGCATAGCAGTTCTCACCACCATCTTATAGAATTTTTCCTAAAGTTTAAGGGGGAATTTTCTAAATAGAGAATTCCATTGCCGGGATTTGAACTCGGGTCATCTAGGTGAAAGCCAGATACCCTTATCGGACTAGACGACAATGGATTCGTCTAGTCCATTGTCAAACATGTTTGGTGTCAGTGATCACCTTCTTAGGCTTTATCATCGCAAGCCTTCATTTTTATTTTGTAAATGAAGAGAAGAGTTATAATATATCTTTTGGCTTGTTTGGTTGGCGCTTAAGTAGCTAAATCAAGATAAGCAAAGTTTGTTGATGTTTGTCTTAAGAATCAAGCAAAGTTATGTCAATTTGTGAGTAAAAAAGATAAAGTTGTATGCTAGGATAATATGATAAAATTGTTTCATTATATTTTGGCTTAAGATTATTTTCTTCACTGAACATGGCGTTCTAATATTGCATAAACATGAGTTGATTTACTCTTAATAGAACTTCATGATGATTAACAAAGTCAAAAATATTGAATTTACTTGAACAAAATTTCAAAAAATGTTCATTAACATCTTCATATTAAATAAATTATTTTGCCACGTAAATTTGAACATCTTGAAGTAGGTAATAGTGACTAAAAGAGGGTGGGAACACAGCTAGCATAATCACGAGTAAAAGATGGCTAACACTAGGGTAAGTATTGGAGAAGCATAGGGAAATGATGCATAATAACTAGAGAATCAAGGGCAAATGTGATGAGAGGAAAAGAATTGAAAGTAGAGAACATATTGATGGAAGAGGGTGGCACATGATGGAGAATATAAGCTAAGCATCTAATACTTCAAAGTAATGAATTTATTTTTCCTCCCACTTAAGACTTATGACATGAAAATCATAACTTAAATTCCATTTGGGCTATTTGGTAGGGCTTAGGGGTTTAAGCTAGCATAAGATTGACTAAAGCTCCAATCAAATAGGTATAAATCCTTAAATGGTTCACCCAACCAGACTCTTTTTACTTCTTTCATAGCATTATTACAAGGGCTCAAAATGAATAGTGATGGGCGTTCTGATATCCCAATTAATGGAAGTAAAATTTGTCTTAAAATATTTTATAAATGCATGTAGTGATGTTCTATAAACTAAAATAATACAAAAAATGTACTCACTTCAACATAAATAATCTTTGAAACTATAAGAAAGAAACTATCGGAATATGCAAATTAAAGTAAAAAATGATGAGAAAAATCTGCAAAAGGATTGAAGGAAACATCAAAGCTTCATATATAGGATCATACAAACAAAATACCACCCAAATTTTTCATATGAATATAAAATACATTAGCTATCTATTTCTAAAAATAGAAAATATACGTAAACCAAGAATAAGGATAAATCTAACAAAAAAGTTGAAAAGGACCAAAAAGCACCTTCAAAGGTATAAGAGAAGAAGGATAGCTAAAAAAGTCTACAAGTCTTAGGGGCTGTTTGGCAACAAGTAGGATTTAACTTGAATATGATTTAGTAAATCCTGTAAATCTGGATTTAATAAATCATGCTAAATTTAAATCCTAAAAACTGTTTGGCAATATAAATGTTAAATCATGTTAAATCTTGTGGAGCTACTTGGTAATATAATCAAATTTTAAGGTGCTGCAAAACACTTGATGCTCAAAGCCAACTCCTCTATTCTCTCTCCCACTCTCCCACACGCATTGAAATGTTAAATCCACCGCACTGTAGGATTTAGTAAATCCATTGCAAAAAGGACCAAACAGCGGATTTATTTCGCTATAAGTTTGAATGGCGGCGTAAATCCTATTTTGCGGAATTTAATGTAAATGCTGCTCAAATCCGGCATAAATGCCGTTGCCAAACAGCCCCTTAGGAAAAATAACAATGCCATGAGATAATATATACTGCATTAAAAAAACTACAGATTTAAGATATTAAATTAGATCACTTATATTTCAGGGACGTCATTGGGAACGATTGTTTAAATAATCATTTGTCGATCTGCTTGTTGGAGCTGAACATAACACATGCCATTACTCCTAGATTTATAGATACTAATATAATTTTGTGCGCTCCAAAATCACAAGTCATCAGGTCTTCAATGATTATTAATCAGCTTCTAATTGAATGCCGTTTTGTTCTGCCCATCACACGAGAAGAACCACTAGCCAAGTAATAATCTACCTCTGTTCAGCTCTTCCCAGAGCTCACGGAATTAAATTTCCAATCATCAGCTAGGAACTCATCACTTAATGCTGCAGTGATTAAAGTTCATAATTGACTGGAATCAATACATTCTTAGCAAACATCGCCTTGCCCTACCTAAATCTAGTAACACGGGTAACAAAAAGAACATCGAGCATAGGAAAAGGCCATACACAAACTGTAAATAAATGAATTCAACCTCAAACAAAATATCATTACTTGACCAGGATCGAACATCTAGTTAGGATACCTAGTAGATAAGAAGAGAGATAAAAACCAAAGTTTTGTCTTCAAATCAGCGAATACAGAAGCTAAAGCTCCACAAATTGATCTAAAAACGCAAACATACCAATCACAAACTCAAAACCCTAGATACATAGACAATCATTGCTTGGATCAAACAAAACTCGAGAAGAACTCATACAGATGAATCAAACAAAATTGAAATCAAGATCAAATCTTACCGACATCGAATCTTCCCTCGCAGAGGCAGCGCTGGGCCCAAGAGACAGGAAGGGGGCAGTAGAGATATAAGAGAATAGGATCACTAACAACTTTCAAAATAAATCGCATAATAAAACATTTGCATGTGCGCCTGGAGAGTCGAGGGTCATGACGGCCGTTAAGGTTAACGGAACGCCATTGACGCCCGACACTGGCATAGCTTGGAGAAGTCCTAAATCGCGACAGGAGCACAACATGCTGGCAGACATGGTCGCCATATGTCGAGTAGTCAGAATAAACATCGCAAAGAGAACAAGAATGTTTATCCGAAACAAGATATTAGTTGTTTTAAGCCCATCCATCAAAGTGACAAATTGTTTTGTGTAGTCATCGAATAGTACAGAGGCGAATCATAACGTATCATGTCACCTAGTATTGAGCGGTACACATAAAATAACGATATTACGTTTTCTCATTCGTCTCTAGACGTCATTCGATGACCGCACAGAATAATTCCTCCGTCAAAACAAGCCAATCATACATTACAAAATGTATAGAGTACTTTTTATGCCAAACTTATTTCCACCAAGATGGAGAAACATGAGAGTAAAGGGAGAGTGAAATTATTTAAACTTGGGCTCGTGCACGTCGCTCGGTTGGTAGATGTGAATAACTTCCTCCGGCGAGCTCGCGTTCGAAGCTCTTAACGTTCCATATATATATATATCATCAAGCCTAAATGAGAGACAAGCTATACAAGCTGCCTTCCAAGTTAAAGATAGATTTGTATTTTAACCAATGATCTCACAAAAAAGATAGGTTGTTAACTTCAATAGCATTAATCAGTTCATTACAAAAGAAATCTCACAAATGGTTTACATTTAAAATAACTTTTTAATTGCATGGCATTTTTAAAATAAAATTTTAAATTTTAAAATTTGATTGATCATTATTAGTTGAGTAGACAAAATAAATAATATGACATAAAAATGTTTATCTTACCATGAGATATTATAGCCAAATCATTAAAAAAATTCTCGTAAATATTGTATATTTAAAAAAACTTTTTTGTAACACTTTTTTTATCCAAATTTGTCCATGGGTTATATCTGATCTTACTAGAATGCAAACTCAAAAAATAAGAACCCAAATACCTTTGATGAGTATGGAAAAAACAAGAAGAAGATTTGGGGGATATTTTATCTCTAACTCAAAGAGTGCCTTCAGAATGTAATAAAAAATTCAAAATAGTCTTATTTATAATTTATTTGTAGGAATCTGAAGGTTATAGGAAAGGCTATACCACAAAGATAAAAAGTATAATAGTAAATGATTATACCTAATACAAACCACCAGCACAAGTGTCATGCTCATATAGAAGTTGGGAATTACAACTAGTTTTTTATCTAGCTCCTCAGTCTCGAGGCTAATTCCTTATGATGAGTGTTCATGGGCGAGCTAACGAAGGTGAGTTCTCTGATGGGTCAACCAAGAAGGACTAATGTTAGTGTAACTTCCAGTAGGTCACCCATCCCAGAATTGTTTTAGGATGAGCACACTTAACTGTGGAGTTTTTTAAATAAAATTTCAACCATTACACCCAAATGTGCCTCAATGTTTAAAAGTATAACTTCTTTCACTTAAGAGATTTCATAGTTACTTAGTCATCCACTGAGTGAATTCATTACATTGGCATAAACAAAATGGATGTATATATTGTATATTATGATGATGATACTTCATAATAGACATCTTGAAGTTCTTTTAATTTTTATAAGGACTTTTGTATAGTTGATCCTTCATTATTGATTATAGTAGTGCCTCCTCATACAATGAGTGCTTCTGCCACCATGATTGTAATAGGGGATGAGTCATCGATGAGGGTTAAATTATTAAGGAGATTATTAAGAAGTAGGAGGAGGCACCTACTATTTAGGAGACCCCCAAAAAAACAAGGAGGATGTGGAGCCTACAATACCACACTTCTCATTGTTATTCGGCTCCTTAGGCACAGCATTCTCACTGTTAAATCATGTTGGAGGCATGATTGGAGTGACTCATTACTATGGAGAAAGCCCTCAATCTATAGGGTATCACTGGTAAGAGAGGAAGTAGTTCCCAGAAAGGCGATGTCATAGAAGTGGATGCCTAGATTTAGAAGGATGTCTCATCATTGGAAAGTGAGATAACAGTGACTCGCAGCTTCTTGTGGACAAATCCAATCATTAAAAGCGAGTGGTTCTTTTTGAAGTATTAGCTAGAGTTAAAGTTATTTCCACATGAGGCAACTTCTGATGTTATATAAAATATTTTTTTATGGTTCCATGTAAGTTCTTCCCACTTCTATTTTCTTATGTATGTATATTATTATGTGATAATTTAATTAAATAAAATGTTAATGTCAGAGAGAGTACACCTATATTTACTTAATGTATTATAATCATCACTTTTATTATTGTGGTGTGTACTTTGTTTTTGCTTTGAATGTTATAGTGTGGGCAAGAAGAAGACTTAAATGTTTTGTTTGATGATATGACAAGTTAGTAACTTACCTTTGAGTGGAAAGTTTATTACTTGCCTCATAAGTGATGTGCTCATAGTATTTGAGGACATGATGAGTTGGATGTGATATTCATGGTGATCTCCTTTTGAGATGAAATTTCCAATGAGATGTATAGCATGCAACCTTTCATTAAGTTTAATATATATAATAAGTGGTAGCTAGTGATAAGGGCAAGTAAGAAAATATCTATCATATCTTGAGGTAATGATGTAAATATAGGTGAAATATGAGCATTAATAGTATATGTGACCAGCATCTCGATGTTCATGCCCTATTCATCCTATGTAAGTATCCCATGGTCGGACCTATATTGTGAGCTCTCATTTGTCGCCCTCTTCAATTAATATGTTGAGAATCTCAATGACCGCTCTTCACAAATGTATTTTTGCCTTCATGAATGTTGATTACTGGCAAACATCAAGGGTGAAGACTACATATGTTAACCATATATTGGGAAAATACTTCACAAAGATAATACTGCAAGTTCATGTTTTTGTTCAAGACAAGAACCTCAGCACCTCCTATAAGGATGAAATCTACATCCGTTGCAATCAGTACAAGTTGGGGTTACAACTCCCATCATGTTGTGAGTTCACATAAATCCTCAACTCCTATGGTCTTGTCCCCATACAAATACAGTTAAATTATGTGGAGTGTGTGATATCTTTCATTTCTTTTTTTGTGAATGCACAAACTATTGTGCATAGTCAACTTATTACACTATATCTTTTTTGTGAAGGTGCTCAAGGACTAGTATGTTCAGTTCTCCTATGTGATGATGCGAATGAGTGGCTTGGCAAACAAACTAAAAAAATTGGAAGGCCAATTTCATATTTATGTGCAATTCTATGGAATGGTTTGTTTTGACTTTTCTAGTCCTTTACCTAAAAATAAAAGTAATTATCCCTTAGTTAAATAAGGAGAGACTATGGCGGTGAAACTACTCATTAGGAAATCATTCATATTGCACTAACACTCATTATTAGATAGCACCATAGTGTTTTTTATGGAAGGGACTTCTAACTTGCTATGATTTTTTTTTTTTTTTTGAAATTTTACTAAGTGTTATTTTTTTCTCTAATGAGAGCATCTCTTACTTAATAATGGTATGTATGATTCTTCTTTACCAAATGGCCACACAATGTTGAAGTTTTTGTACAAATACCCTTTAGGCAAGGAGAAGAAAGAGAGATCATCTTCGAGTCTCGAAAAGGTTTAGAAAGTGCCTGAGAAAAAATCAAGAAAAGAGGTAGAGGCTCCTATTTTCCCCAAGAAGCTTGTAACAAAGAGGCATACGATGAGTGTTAGTCATAGTCACCTTCAAAGGAGAAAGGGGCTTGAGATAATCCAACAACAAAGGTGATAAAGACACTTTCTCTAGTGATGAGTAAGGATGTTGTAATCAATGAGAAAGCTACAAAGAAATCCTTTGAAGTGGTGAGTTGCCTACAACCATTAGTATTATGCCCAAAAAGGTAAGTAGGTTATCACCAAGTTCAAGGAATAAGAAAAGGAGTTAAGTCTCGTTCTCATAGCCATCTTGCTCTGAAGAGGTGACATTTTTTAGGTGAAGTCAATTTAATCTAACCACCTAGGAGGAGCAACAACCATGGTTGGGTGGTTTAGACTATTGTAGAGAAGGAACTTGATATTATGGCAATGAATTCATTAGGAAACACCTTATAAAACATCTTATCTACTATCTAGTAACAAGCTTATATAAATTTAGAATCCTTGAAGAAGGCTTATGCCTTATTATAAAAGTATGTAGCAATGGAAGGATGGCTCACCTCATCGCCAAGGATAAAAGAAACAAATAATGGGATAGGTTTGTAGAAAAGGTGGAAGCCCTCACAACATATCTTATCAAGGAGTCAATTTTAAGGAAACTATATAACGGGTGAAGGAGCTCGCAAAAGTAGAAGTCACCAGGTTTTTGGTAGAGGTCAAGGCGACTAAGGCAAAATATGGCACTTTCTTCAACTTTACTAAGTCCTAGGAGATCCTCAGCCTTAATTTCATGGAGGAGATTAAGTAATATTAGGAAGCTCATCTCTATGGGTGAGCTTGATTCAAAGTTTGAAGAGTTATTGATCTTCTTCAGTGTTTCTTTGGATGGTAAGGAACGTGATATTGTGAGTGTGATAGAGGACCAAGTCACCTCGCCTTATAACTTCTCTATTTATTTCTTTTTCTTTTTTAATTTGCTTACAATGTAAAAAATTATTTGTAATATTTTATAAATAAAATGAAATAGAAATATTTTCTTATTTGTTTCATTTATTATGTGTTTACTACTTGGCTTTTTTCTCTACATGTATGCCTTCTTGTGATAACTCTTTTTCAGGTGTTAAGCATGACTCTATATTATGAATGACATGTATAACTGGTAAATATAATGACATTATCCAAAGAATATTAATGAAATTCATCTAACTCGATAATAGTTGAATAACTAAATAAAGGACACAACTATCTAGGAGTAAGCTATTATTAATTCAAATAAAATTTTTTAAAAGAATAATATTAAAATAAACATAAATGATTAAAAATGACTATAAATGAGAAGGCATGTGAATATAACTCGATGAATTTGGACTTGGTGGTTAATAACTCAACGGGTTATAACTAGGCGAGTTAAGCTGAGAATAAATATATATCCCTAAAAGAAATGTGCTAATTGTGGGACTCTTTTGGATATAACCAAAGACTTGAATTTAATGA